CGTATGGGATGGGGCCCAGCCACGGGCGCTGTGCTGGTCAGAGGGCCTCCGGCTGGGAAGCCACCCAGAGAGGGCCCTTAAGGCTGGTGCCTACCAGGAAATGAAGGTATCCGTGATCGTCTCTGTGGCCATGAAGAGCGCGAACACAATCCAGTACATCATCCAGCGGACCTGCAGGGACGGGGGGCAGGTTAGCCAGCACAGACCCACACCAGCCCTGCAGCAGGGCTCAGAGCCAGCCGGGGAAGGGAGGGACGGGCTGCCATGCGAGCCCTGTGGTAGCCCGATCCGCCCTACACAAGAAGGATGTGTAGGGTCCAAGTCCCCAGACACAGTTCCCCACCCCTGCAGTGGTCAATGTTCCCTCTAATTTTTTCCAGTCCCTGTGCAGAATAAATTTTGTTGTGCGCACGGAGGCGCAAGCAGATGTGCACCACCAGAAGAAACCCATGTGGGTGCTCTGCTCATCAGCAGGGAGGCACCTGATTCTCTCCTGGGCAGCTACCCAAGTGCTCAGCTTACAGCGAATGCTGGTCAGAACGCCACTTTGCTGCTGGAGGGGCCACGGCTCTTATAGGAGAATCACCCACTGGCCCGTGAGATTAGAGGCATGGAAATTCAGCCCCTTTGGAAGTCACATGCACGGTGCTTTACCCATCCTCACCACCCCACAGCGTCACACGGGTCGCCAGCCCCACGGCACAAGCGGGAGACAGGCGCACAGAGCAGGGAGCAAAGCAACAGCCACACCCTCTCCGCACCCAGTCCTGCTCCCAGCAACTGTGCAGTAGGGATGCAGGAGTCTAACCGGTTAGCCAATCAGCTGATGCTCGTCGGTTGCAGTTAACGGTGAAACTCCCGCGAGCCGGCGGCCCACGGGGCCCGTTTAACCGGCAGGAGTGTGGTCGGTTACACCGTTCGTGTCTGTTAACCCTTTCTGCATCCCTACACCAGGTTCCCGCTAAGCTGCCCGGCTGCACAGCTGCCTAATAAGCCCTGCATGGAGCAGCCACAACCAGGGGAAGAGGTCCCCTCCTCCAGCCCCAGAGCAGCTGCATTAAGGAAGGAGCATTAGGGGCTGCAGCCCCTATGAAGCTGAGTTCTAGGTCAGCCCTTCCTGGCGGGTGTGGTGGCTCCATGCGCTGCCCTTCCCTCCCCTCCCCCGGACGGAGCCACATCACCATGAGTGTCTGGAAGCTCTGTTCCCGCAGCCCCCACTGGCCAGGAAGTGCAGCCACACGC